CAGGTGACCACAATTTCCAAACCGTTTTCCTAGATTAACTATCAAGACTTTCTAGTTAGCAGGAACCCCAAGCAAAAAGGATTTTTTTGTTTTCTCACCTAATTTGCTCTCTCTATCTTCTCATTTTATTTACCCCATCAAATGGAAAATATTACGTTAATTTAAGCAAAGGCTGGTCTGAAAGCATGCCTACAAATAATATGGATCAGTACAACCTAAAGCTTCCCCAATATTTTTTTCCGAATCAGCCAGTCAGTAAAGCATGGCACTTTTAAACTCAGGGTCAAAGGTTTGAGCCCTATCTTGGGAGTCTAGATGAACCTTGTGGTACCTTCCAACTCTATGATTCTATGTAGGTAAAAAAAAGGTAAATGACCCCTGGACGGTTGAATCCAGTCAAAGGCGACTATGAGGTGTGGCACTCATCTCACCTTTCAGGCTAAGAGAGCCGTGTTTGTCCACAGACAGCTTTCCGGGTCATGTGGCCAACATGACTACACCGCTACTGGCGCAAGGAGGACCATGACGAGTGCCAGAGCGCACAGAAATGCCGTATACCTTCCCACCGCAGCAGTACCTATTTATCTACTTTCACTGGCATGCTTTTGAACTGCTAGGTTGGCAGAAACTGGGACAGAGCAACGGGAGTTCGCCCCGTGGCACAGATTCGAACTGCCAACCTTCCAATCGGCAAGCCCAAGGGGCTCAGTGGTTTAGACCACAGCACCACCCACTCCCTATCTAAGATAATAGTGCTGGCTGGCTTGAAGATCATCATGGTTGATCACAGGGCGGGAGGATGGGGTGCTGGGCTTTACAGGTCTTCATCAGTGCCTTCAACAGAGTCTGCATGGCAACAGAAGCCAGTGAACTGAAGACAGGCGTAATGAGCTTCTGATCTCTCTCCTTCAGAAGGCAGGCCACAGCAGACTGTGCACATGTGAAAGTCTCCAAAGAGTCATCAGGTGCAGAGATACACAAAAGCCTATTTCCCCACTTTATCGAAAATGTGCCAAATAATTGCTGTAACCTGGATATTCAGGCTTTAGTGAAAGTGAGCCTACCTAGCACAGGAAAAGGTGAGACCATGTTTGCATACTCACTAGTGCAGAGTGCACCAAGGATTATCCCTGAGTGGAATCTGAACGTTCTTGCACTGAAATGCTAGTTTAAAAAGAAAATAATTAATGTACAAATTACATATACTTGAATCGAGAGTCTAAATCTGAGACAGACCCTGTAAACAAAGTTGGCTCAATACATTATAGAGCTTGTAACTCAATAGCATTTAATCTCTGGTGTAAGGGAGAAAATGAAAGGACTGTTTGCAGCAGAGTAATCAGATTAATAAAAATATACAGAAAGGGAGTTCTCCTTGTTTGTGTTTTAGTCACACCTAGGCAACACAATCAAGTAACATATGTGGAAGTGCAAGCTTGGAATACTGTGGATTTAACAATGTATCACAATTATATGAACACCTATATTCAATATTCCATAGCTTTCTTAACAGATTGCAATGCAGTTGGGAATAAGAATGTAACTTTTCAATGAACAGCAAAATCAGTGTTAGAGACAGCATACATTCATGCATTCATACATACATTCATGTTATTGTCACATGAAGCCAACCAGTATACAGTGGAACCTTGGTTTTCAAGCATCTCAGACGCTGAATGATTAAGAACCCAAACGCAGAAAATCTGAAAGTGAATGCTTCTGTTTTTGAACGCACCTCAGAAGTTGAATGGGTTCTGAGGCGCATTTCTCCATTTTCTCCATTGAAATTGCTGACCGCCCATTGCGCCTCGGTTGTCGAACGTTTTGGAAGTCAAACGGTCTTCCAGAACGGATTACATTCGACAACCGAGGTTCCACTGTGTTTGGTATGGAACATACAATGGCTTAGGGACGCGGGTGGCGCTGTGGTCTAAACCACAGAGCCTAGGGCTTGCCGATAAGAAGGTCGGCAGTTCGAATCCCTGCGACGGGCTGGGCTCCCGTTGTTTGGTTCCAGCTCCTGCCCACCTAGCAGTTCAAAAGCCCATCAAGTGCAAGTAGATAAATAAGTACCGGTCCGGTGGGAAGGTAAACGGCATTTCTGTGTGCTGCTCTGGTTTGCCAGAAGCGGCTTAGTCATGCTGGCCACATGACCCGGAAGCTGTACGCTGGCTCCCTCGGCCTACAGAGCAAGATGCGCGCGCAACTCCAGAGTCGTCCGCGACTGGACCTAACGGTCAGGGGTACCTTTACCTTTACCTATACAATGGCTTGGATCTTAAGTTGCTCTTTTACTCACACAGAGGGTCAATATCTGCCCAACTTCCACCTTGGCAACACATTATTTACCAAGGGTCACCTAACTGTTAGGGAACAGGTTTTTCAGGGAAGAGGGAGGTAGCTTACTTCAAAGCTACACATATTTTCCTGATAAGTTCCCTTCATGATGTCAGCAGAAAATTGGGGTAATAATTTTAGGATGAAGTCTTGATGACTAGAGAAAGTATGCATGTATACACCCACCCACCCAGAGAGATTGGCATCCATCTGTCTTGAGAGACAATGGAGTACACCTCCAGGCGTGAAGTCAAACCACTGTTCTAGCTGCCGTGAAGTGACCTCCTTAGGGCACAAGCCTGGGCAGTGTGTACAGAGGTCCTGGGATGCCCAGGCGACAATATTGCCCTCTCGGCCTCACTGGCATGGTCCAAAAGAAAGCAGAGCAGAGGAAAGCAGAGTTGGCACCAGCTTGGCTGCAGGAGTTCCTGGAAGGAGGCATACAAGATACCATCCAACCGTTTTAGCGATTCCACTCTGGATTGCTGTAGGGCTTACTCCTTAGCCTTTTCTTCTCCCAAAGATGCCCCACAAGGCAGCGGCTAACTCTAGAATACCATTCTCAATACCACCTACCAATATTTTATGCCACCAGAAAATGTCATAGTCTTTAAGGTACCACAAAACTGTTGTCTTTTGCTGCAAGAGGCTAGGGTGATATAAAAATTTAATTAATAAATAAACATGGCTGCCCCCCTGGAAATCTTTATCTTATCAAAGTCAATGGTTAAGCTCCCACTGATTAGTATAATTGGGATTTATACTCAATATGGTATGCTAAACATGATATTCATACACCAGGATAAAAATTAAATATTTAGGAAAAATCTTATATGCACAATAAATACCACCAAGCGAAGCATTTAAGATTTTCATACCCAAAAATGTACAATTACCTTTATTTCTTCTTTCACAGGTTCTATTTTCAGTTATACTTAAGTAATTAACCTGACAATATTTATTGCGCATTAAACAACAGAATACAATCTTACTTTGTCTGGGTAACCTTGAAAAAACACACCACAGACGTTAAGCCAAAAAGTCAATGAATTGTAACAGGGTCTTGAATATGCAATTTCAATAGAAGCATGATTGTTCTTTTGCTTTCTGTTAAACATGGCGCAACTCTCAAAAGTGTGTTACTGGCTTTTCTTCTGACAAATCAAATGAATTATCCAATGCACACACAATTTATTTGGCTCATATTAAAAGCATTATAGTACAGAGCTATTTCTATTCTTCATACGCTAACACCACAGTGAATCATGTTCCCAAGTTCTTTAAGTGTCAAAAGTTTCAATGATAAATACTTGAAATAGTTTTAAGGTCTCAAATCACTGATTGTCCTTTATGCTGATCTGCATACCCAAGGTAACAGCTTAAACGTCTGGAAGTACAGGAACTACCCCCAGTTATATGACCTACTTCCCCTGAGTGAATGCTTTCAGCCTCTCTATTTTTCTCCTGTTCACAGGACTTAGGTTATTTTGCAATTTTCACAACATCACACCTCTTTCCCCTGCAATTCCAAAACATATGGGGAGTTGCTCTGCACGTTGGCAGTTTAGCTGAATGCAGAGGTGAGAGTCTTATGCCATTTTCTCGTTCCCTCAAAAGCCATGCACTATTATAAATCAAATTTAACTTGTATAAAGCTCAGTGTTAACTAAAGGCAACAAAGAAAAATACAGACTTTATTATTTTAGATCTCTGCCAGTTATTATCATTTTATACAGGTCTGTCTGTGTATATGGCTCCTTTCAGAATTCAAAGAGGCAAAATATAAGCAGGTTCCTGCTCTTAAAGAGCTTCCAGCTTGCTTTCTGCAAAGGGAGATACATTTCTGGCAGCCACTGGAATCTCCTCCACCTTCAATCTGAAGATTATCAATGCCTGTGAAGGAGGATCTTTCATGGCCCGACATGCACGGGTGCAATGCAGCGTACAACAGCATTCTCAAGACCGCTCCAATTGAATTTCAGATGGCACAATACTGGATAACCCTAATCAGCTTCTTCTAAGGTACCTGACCATTATGTGTTTGCTTCAATGAGAGTTGTAGTATAGAACTGGATTAGTGATTCCAGGTGGATTGAAGCATCTGACAACTTCAAAAATTATAATGTCACTTCTCTGCAAATATGCCATTGTGTTGTTATACAGACACTAAAAGGAAAAGCAGTGGGGGTGAAGAAACAAGGGTACACCCTAAGCTGTTTAGGAGTTTGCAAGCAAGTGCACATGCCCACAGATTTCCAGATTTCTGGCAATCAAGGTAGCTGGGAGCAATATCCTGGCCCTTCAGTGCAAATTAAATGAGAATATTTGCCATTGATGTTTACCACTAGGTTCAGCCCAACAGCATGCCTAATTTCTTTTAATCTATTTTGTGTTGCAGTCATTGTTATGATCCTGTCTTTATCCCTCCCAAAGAAAAGTACGGAATGCTTCCTTTCTTCAGTATGGTGCCCACGTTGCAGCAAACTCTTTTCAGCAAATTATTTCAGCCCAGCATTCTACAATGCATAGTACTGAGCATGCAATAAAGAAGAGAGATAAAAATCACACACCTATCTTCACTGCTCCTATGACAGCTTGGAAAATGATAAAATTCAGGTCACATAAGTGATTAGATTTCGTATTTTGATGAATTTCACTCTCACCTTGTACTTTATCAGAACATAGTTCCCTGGCCTTCTCTCTCATCATTTTTGGAATCAAAACATCCTTTTCTACGTGCCTGAGCTGTGGCTCCTCTGCAAGAGAACAAAAATATTTCTATGTTTAGATGGCAAGTCGCAGGTGAACTGAAAGAACAAGAATGCTGTTTAGAAGGGATGTTAATACATCTGGAGTTCTGAAACAAAACACATGTATGTATATAACGTCCTACTATCAACAATTAATAATAATTTAATAATAATTTATTATTTATACCCCACCCATCTGGCTGGGTTTCCACTGGCAAATATATCAAGGTAACACTGAAGATGACAATGGGTGGAATTCAACATAGAAAGTCTGCTTGTACAATAGAATTCCCACCCCCTCCTTCTCCTGCATGTCTTCCCACATAATTTTCTGCTGTGGAGGACTGAGAGCAAACCCCAAAATTGTTTAGGCAGCATCCGGTGGTATGTGGGGGGAGCAGAAAGGGAAGTCCTGCCGTGTGAATGGATCTCATTCCAAGCACAGAACAACTTATTTGACTCCCACCCAATACCTTCATTTGCTGTATTTGCAAACAATATGCCTAAGGAGTCTGACATGCCAATGTCATTCCCATCTTATCCTCTGAAGGGCTAACATGTCCAAGGCTGTTCAGTGACCAGGATCTGAATTCCATTCGCCATAGCCCCATTCCACTAATCCAGGCATAGGCAAACTCGGCCCTTCAGATGTTTTGGCACTACAACTCCCATCATCCCTAGCTAACAGGACCAGTGGTCAGGGATGATGGGAGCTGTAGTCCCAAAACATCTGGAGGCCGAGTTGGGGGATGCCTGCAGTAATCTAACGTTGACCACACCGGCTCATAGCAATATATTCATAATCAGGTTTTAGGAATATGAACCAATCACACAGAAAAAGCAGCATTATAACTTTCATCTTTATAGGAATAAAGAACAACAGATAACTTCACAATATGAGACCTTTCCATCACTTTAGCTCAGGGGTGGTGAATCTATGACCCTTCCAGCTGCAGTTGGGACTCCAACTCCCATCAGCCTCAAACTATACATGCATTGGCCTGGGGTGATGGGAGTTGTAGTCCACAAACATATTGAGAACCACTGGTTCCCCATCCCCATACGACACATTGTTTTTAAAGCATTTTCAGTTTGTGCACAGAAACTGATTGACAGATTGGTGAGCTTGTTTCAAATGTGACATGATGTGCTCCCTTGGGGCCACCCCAGTTGGCAGCAGTAAGCTGAACTCACTACATTTTCTGAAACGTATTCAAAGGTGTAATAATGCACTGTACTAATCTAATTTGGAGGTTACCAAGCCATGGGTGACCGTGGCCAGGCTATCTCTACCTAGGTGGGGTTGCAGCTGGTGTACTTCCTTAACCTGGTAAAAGGTGCAGCATGCCATGAAGTCTCCAATGGCAGAGTTGGAGCAATCAGCATTTAAGACTGCAGGCCTGATCCTGAAGACCAGTGGTGTTCCAGATGTTGTTAGACTCCGGTGCCCATCAGTGCCAGCCAGCATGGCCAATGGTCAGGAATGATGCGGATGTGCAGTCCTGCAACATCTGGTGGGCCACAGGTTAGCCACCCCTACTTTAAAGGGAGTGCAATCCCATTCAGAACAGGTTGAACACCAACTTCCAAAACATATGAACTACCCATCAATACTGTCTTTTCAGGACTGAGCTTCAGCTTAGCAACCTTCACCCGGTCCATTAATCATTCCAAACATCAATTTAGCACTCGTGCCTTGTTCCACAGGAAGGTAACAGTTGGAAGATGGTGGTCCCTGTTTGAGAGGCAGGGTAGAAAGCGTCTCCCAGGTGGGAGCTGGGAGGGTCTACCTTTCTGTGTGTGGATAAAGGATATGATATAACTGTGATGAAAGGCCTTTAATTCTTTTTTGTTTCCTCTTTTCTTTATCTAGTTTGACTTTTATTGTATTTTATGTTGAAAACTTTCAATAAAAATTAACTAAAGAAGAAGAAAGGGTTTAGCAGTTGTACCTGGGGAAAAAGGTTACATATTAGGGGACATTAGCTCTTCTCCTTGACAAAGAAAAACCTGCAAACAGCATTCTGATAAAACAGGCCAGAAGTTAATGGGAGGCAGAGATTGCTACATATGAGTGGCTTATTAGAACCGTGAAACTCTCATTCTATTAACCACTATGCAGCTTGGTACAATCCTATGCAGTGTTTCCTGGGAGTAAGCCCCACTGAATTCAGGGAAATTTCCCAGCAACTGAAACATACGCAGGATTGGTTCCTTTAGTAGTTCCTTTAGCTGCTTTTATGTAGGTTCGTTTCTAAAAAATAGCCCAGAAAATTGTATACATTTGTGTTTTCCATAAGTTCCAAATGTTGAGATTGTACTACCTTAGATTCGCATCAATTCAAATTAAGAGAGAGAGTAAGGATGACAACACCAGGGAAAAAATTTCAAAGCTTTAACTTCTCACTATTCTATCATCACCTTGAAGTCAATTTTCACCTTTTTCACTGGCTGAATCTGTTATCTTACATTTTGCTTTGGGGCTCATGTGTTCTTGCAATATAGCAGTACTGGATTATGAGAATACTGACAAGCATGTTTGCTAAAAAGAAAAAAAAGTCACAATGCTTATATTCTTGTAGGTTGGGGATCAGATTCTGAACCAATTCTGTAACATTTTGGGGAAACATAAAAGTAAAAACATGAACAGAGGGAGAGCGCAACTATAGATGTTGACTAATTCGGATACAAAACAATATAATCAGTAGAGAAGGGGGAGAGTTGTTTCTGCAAGTAGTTTCATCTGACCTGTTTTATCTACAGTCATCTCAGAATAGCCAGCTTAACTGCTGAGAGATGGCAGATCAGACAGCCCCCTGGGAATTATAGGAGCTTCAGAGAAAATATTGTTGCACAGAAACTACATTTTACAGCCATGCATTCTCTTCTTGCCCTTTGCAAAGTTTTTTTTTAAAAAAACAACAACAACACACACACCAAACAAATCCACTCTGAGCCATGCATGTAGAAGGCCAAGTTTAGCCACCTTAATTACACAGCATCCTATCATATCCCCTGGAGTGGCACACTATACTTAACCTCTGACTTCTTTCCGAACCGATCAATTGGAGGGTGAACTGGAAACGCATGTCCAGATTTGTCATAGGCGGTTAAAACCCTGAGAAGCTCTCCCCATCAAATTCTAATGCTAATCAATACAGCGAGCCTGGGGTGTGTGGGGAAAGGGAACTTTATCTAGAACAGTTACCCTCCTTCCACATCAAGCCAATTTTTCTATGTGGTTGAACCTTCAATCAGTAAATACAGCAATTAAATGCAAGTTACATCCACAACAAAATGTTGCAGTGTGGAATACTGTTGTTCGATATGCCAGCCTTCCCATTTTATTTATTTTTTTGCTGTTTTAATTGGGTTTTATAAACAAGAATGATGTTATACAAATAAGTATACCATATTTTTTCATGTCATTTGTATATCACAAAAATAGCACAATAAATGTGGGAAAATATCCACAACATATGTTTCATTATCAGTGGTCAACGGTATGAGTTCTTGGTTTATGATTTGGTTTAAACGATTAGGAGGAGGAGGAGGAGGAAGAAGAAAGAAAGAAAGAAAGAAAGAAAGAAAGAAAGAGGAAGAGGTGAAGGACGGAGTGGCAGGTGGGGTGGTGGTGGTGGTGATTATGCTTCTATTATTCTACTTAGCGTGTGTGAAGGGTTGTGTCAGTGTTACTTGTATGGGTTCTCTTACAATTCACTTGTTGTATTTCCTTGGTGGTGAAAGAGGTGGGGTGTGGCTTAGGGTGTGGTTGGTTGTCTTTGGTTGTCTGTAGTGAGAATTGTTTTTGTGTGTGAGCAGGGTATGAGTGTGTATTTTTGAATCAGGTTAGACAGATTGATTCGTATGCTGTCGGGGGATTCTTGTTGTTGTCTTGTTGGGCTGTATATATGATAAAGGGGAACCAAACTGGGGTGAAGGCGTCTTCTTCTATTTGTCCCTGTGTCAGTTTGTTGGTTAGTTTTTCTGATAAGGCTGTTTCCCATACTATTTGATACCATTGGTCCATGCTTATTCCTGACAAGTCTCTCCAGTGTCTGGCTATGGAGCTTCCCTTTTTCTAGCAGATGCCCTTCCATTCCCTGTCCCCACTCCTCGTTTTCCAGCCTTGCACAAGCTACAATTCCTGCTGCAGCCTTCTATAGAAAGCCATTTCCAAATTCTCTTCAAAGGCTGCTAAACCAAGGGCACATTATATTACCCCTTCCAAATCAAGACACTACCTAGATATGGATTAAAGCAAGGGTAAGAGAATCTGTGGCTTTCCAAGTGTTGTTGGGACTCCCAGCTCCTGTCAGGTCCTGCCAGGGATGGTGCAAGTGGCCAGGGATGATGCAAGTTGGAAACCAGCAAGGCTGGGAGGGCCACAAATTAGCAGCTCTTGAGATAAGGAGATGAGGCCCTGATAATCAAGGAAAGGATGCAGGGACACACCAGGCAAAGCTGGGTCCTCTTGGTTGCAAACAGCACCTCCTGAGATTCCTAGAACAAATTCCAGCAGGAGAAGAGGAAATGACACATTGAGACCTGAGAGCTCCCTACCAGGACCTGTTTCCTAAGTATGTATGCCAAGGACTGCAGCATTAGTGAAAGTCATAAGACCAAGCAAATTACAGGGAATTTCAGACTTGAGTGTTTTGGCTTGCAAAGTACAAGTTCCTCAACTTTCTTAAACGCAAAGCGTCATTCTCTCTGTATGATAAGCACACCACCGTCACCACTTTCATTGTAACCTCAAGCAGAGATAGGTATACATGACAGCGAAGGTAAAGTGGCAATGGCAGTCACTTAAGGAGTTTAACATTGCCAAAGCCAAGCACAACATTTTCAGCACATATTGCTGCTGGAAAGAATGGTCCCAGGAGGAAGATCTCCAGCAACCATGTATCAGTCATACACTTATTAGCACATCACCAACCACAGGTGAGAATGTGCCTTGACAGAACCGGGCATGTAGAACTCCTCAAAAAATAAAAAAGTGTTTTTCTAGCAAAGGTGAAAACATGAGAGAGAAGGTTTGCACCCCCCGGTATGACACTGTTGTAGTAGGGGGAAAACAAAACAAATAAACATGAGAGCTAAGCGATGAACATAAAACATGTAGCTGGATTCTGGATGAGAAGAATAGAAAGGAGTACAGCCAGTGCTGCTGAACCCAGTCTATGCTTTTCTATTATTATTTATTATATTGGTATACTGACTTACGGGACGTGGGTGGCACTGTGGTCTAAACCACAGAGCCTAGGGTTTGCCAATCAGAAGTTCGGCGGTTTGAATCCCTGCGACGGGCTGAGCTCCCGTTGCTCGGTCCCTGCTCCTGCCAACCTAGCAGTTCAAAAGCACGTCAAAGTGCAAGTAGATAAATGGGTACCGCTCCGGCGGGAAGGGAAATGGTGGACCTGACATCCTTCCGCAGGGCCTGCAAGACAGAGCTGTTCCACCAGGCCTTTGGTCAGGGTGCAGCCTGACCCCCTCCTCTGGCAATCTGCACAGAATTTTGCTTGATGGTTGCCATTAATTTGATTTTAATTTGATCTAATTAATTTTATAATGAATGTTTTTAGAATGTTGGATTATTTTGTTTGTTGTTAGCCACCCTGAGCCCAGCTTCGGCTGGGGAGGGCGGGATATAAATAAAATTTTTTTTATTATTATTATTATTATTATTATTATTATTATTATTATTATTCCGTGCGCTGCTCTGGTTCGCCAGAAGCGGCTTAGTCAGGCTGGCCACATGACCCGGAAGCTGTACGCCAGCTCCCTCGGCCAACAAAGCGAGATGAGTGCCACAACCCCAGAGTCATCCGCTACTGGACCTAATGGTCAGGGGTCCTTGCTTACTGACTTATACCTGTACATCTCAGGGTGGTTCTCAACTAGGGTGCTGGTGTAAGGAGTCAGAAGCAGGCCTCAGGCTTACATACTATATTAACACCCCTCTTCTGTGGTCATTTCCCCACCCCATGTTAAAAAGGTAAAGGTAAAGGGACCCCTGACCATTAGGTCCAGTCGTGACCGACTCTGGGGTTGCGGCGCTCATCTCGCTTTATTGGCCGAGGGAGCCGGCGTACAGCTTCCGGGTCATGTGGCCAGCAGGACTAAGCCGCTTCTGGCGAACCAGAGCAGCGCACGGAAAAGCTGTTTACCTTCCCACCGGAGCGGTACCTATTTAACTACTTGCACTTTGACGTGCTTTCGAACTGCTAGGTTGGCAGGAGCAGGGACCGAGCAACGGGAGCTCACCCCATCGCGGGGATTTGAACTGCTGACCTTCTGATCGGCAAGTCCTAGGCTCTGTGGTTTGACCCACAGCATGTTAAACATATTTAAAACCTGGGCACTAATCTTAGCTACGGTTAATGCTAGCCTGGGTTTGCTATTAGTCAGTGTTTTAAAACCAGTTTCAAATACTGTAGTATTAACCATATTTAAGTTTGGTGTCAACTGCCTTGATTGTTTTGAAGCCATCAAATCCTGCTTTAGACAAGAGTGGGTACAATACATTTTGATCTGGATTCTCTAAGTTAGAAACAAGATGATTCCTCATATCAGCAAAAATAATCCGAGATAGAACTGAAATACAAAGGGAGTCAAATAACACAGAAAAGTTGGCAAATGTGAGGCATATTGTATAGGGATGTAAGAGCTGCTAATAAAATATTTTGGAGATTCAAGAGTGAAGAAAATCCTGATGACCAGTTGTGAGGTCTGCTACATCCAGCCCTTCTCCTGGGATATATTATTTCCATAGAAGGCAAACCGAATAGGAGTTTGTTTATCAGTCCCTTAGATTTAGGCTAATCATCGTTATTTTTAACAGGCCAAAATGAGAGTAAAGCTAGAGGCAACTTTTTTCTGTGAATGTAATTAATGTGTCATTTTTTTAAAAAAAGTAACTGGAAGCTGGGGTGAGGTACAGTAGGCAAGACCTCTGCATGAGGAGAATTTAACTTCCACCCAAACCCAAACACCATGGTCAAGATTAAAATTGCCTTCCTGAAGCTATTTACAGTGGTACCTCAGGTTACATGCGCTTCAGGTTACATACGCTTCAGGTTACAGATTCCGCTAACCCAGAAATAGTGCTTCAGGTTAAGAACTTTGCTTCAGGATGAGAACAGAAATCGTGCTCCGGCGGCGTGGCGGCAGCAGGAGGCCCCATTAGCTAAAGTGGTGCTTCAGGTTAAGAACAGTTTCAGGTTAAGTACGGACCTCCGGAACGAATTAAGTACTTAACCTGAGGTACCACTGTACATAGGAACAAATGGCTCAATTGGTTTACATAGCAAAACCATTAAGTTATGAAACTATAGGAAAGGTGTTATGCAAGTTAAAGATTATCTACACCAGTTGCAAATGATTGAGAAAATGCAAAGAAACAATACAAAAAACAGCCCTACCCTGAAAACTTGTTATAGGATAACTTATAAATGCCATAAACAAACAAACCTACAGGCAAAAGTCAGACAAAGTGGCCCTATTGAAATACAACTTCCTATGTTCCCAGATGTGTTTGCCTACATGCCATCTTTGTACAAACTATAACTAGCAGTAGTGGTATCATAGAAGCAAGAATCGTAAGCAAAGGCCACTGCTAAAGTGCAAATAAAATGTGCCCATGAATCCTAAGAAATAATTTGAAAAACAACAATAAAGAGGATCAAGCTAGTCCTGAAGTATAGTGACAAGTTCACTGTTCCCTTTTAGCACCAACACAATCTAGTACACTTGAGAACTGGTATAGCGTAGCTGGGCTATACCAACCAGGAAGTATTACCTTTGCCATGAACTCCCTAGGTAAGCCCCTTTCTCTAGCCTCAGTCCCACTATCTGCATTACAAAAGATAATACTACTAAGTTTACCTTATTATGTATTATACTTATTTTAATGCTACACTACAACTACATTCCCAAGGTGGTTTTGAAAAAGATTAAGTCAGTTAAAATATAAATACCAGGGTGTGTGAGAGAGACCAAAATCCATAAAATAGATAGCAGTATTAAAATAGTATCTAAAAAGCTTGGGAAAAGAAAAATTCTATGTCCGTCATCAGAAGGCGAACAAGGTAGGAGACAGAAAAAACTTTCTGGGGAGCATAATCCACAACCACTACCAAGAAGGCCCTTACCAGTAAAGCATGTTGAATTTTTCAACTTTCAAATTCCAAAAAAATGAGGAGGGCTTACAAGTTGTATCATGACTTGGGAATTCAAAATATGTTTTGGTTAAATTAATATAATTTAGCTTTTTTGCTTGGTAAGTAAAATGTGTGTAAAACTGCACAGAAATCATTAAAAATTATTGCAGTTATATTATATATTAATATTAAACATTACCTTACATTTTCAGAAGGTAAAACTAAAGTTCTTTGGTTTTCCAAAAGCCGTTTATGTGCTTCTTCACCAAATGTAGATTTACCAAGCTAAATACTGTTTGGACACAAAAAATAATAAGAGCAGATTTGAATCCCCCCCCCCTCAAAAAAAACCATATTTTTAAGACCCTTCACTGAAGAAGTTTGCAAAAATTAAGTTTTGCCCCCTGAAATGACACGCCCCACTACCAGGCTATTTTGTAGAGGTAATGTTGAGTGTTCTTCATTCATTTAAATCTAAAAGTGGAACAACCTTCTGAGGCATTCATCATAGAACTGTAGAGTTGGAAGGGGATCCCGGGAGGCCATCTAGTCCAACCCCCTTGCAGTGCAGGAATCTCAACAATCATCTTATAAGTCAGACAACTACACCCATTTCATTAACGAAGGGAACTAAGAGCACGTGAGGGCTGGGAGCCCTTGAGTCGGCGGTAAACCCGTGAACAAGGGTTCACACGTGAACCAAGGAGCAAGTTCACGGGTCTGGACTGGCAGCTCCTCAGCCTAACCCCCTTGCACTCATGTCCCGGGCACGTCAAGAGGAGGGGGTAGCAACCGCCCCTACCTGCTGCACCAGGGGCAGACTCCATGTACCAGCTTCCCTGCTTTAGGGGCGGGGAGGGAAGCACCTCAGTAGCTACAGAAGTCGCGGCGGCAGCAACAACATGGTCATAGTCCCTCAACCTTGGGGGTTGTTTTTTTTTAAGGCACACACTCTCTCGGCGCATGCGCCGGCTGCGGAATTCGAAGCTCCAGCGCGCTACCCGTCGGCCTGACAGCACTACGGCGCACGCGCCGAAGAGAGGGAGGAAGCGGAAGAGAAGGAGGCGAACGAACGGCGCGGGAGGGCGCGTGCGCGCGGAAGGCTAGGGAAGAAAAAGGCGGGGTTCTACCTATTGGGGCGGGGCGAATGCCGGCCTCTTCCAGACCGGCTTCTTAATGGGAGGAGCTTCGGAGGATAAAGCGATAGTGACGTCACCGTGACAAGATTCTCGCCTAGAGAGCCCCTTAAAACCAGTTGGGAAGGTGGCTGTTGGGATTGCTCCTTTGTGAGGCAAGGAAGGCAAAACAAACACCTGTACTTTTAATACACACACAAGTCTTTTAATAAATACATCCATTAATAGAAGGGAGAGCAACTAATAATCAAGGAGATAGACCAATGTGAACGTTGAATCAGGCATTATCACCAAACCTATCGGCTCAGTAATTACTAAATATTGACATGTTTCATAACGTAACAGTTTTCACAGACCCGAATATAATATTATAGTTTGGGGGTCAGTCTGGTTGGGTTTTGCTGCTCCCTTAGATTCTTAACAGCCATGAGGTGTTCACAATATCTGAAGATAGCCTCAATTATTTAGGGGGTTATTCAGAAGAACATGCCCCACTCTTGTATTATGACTTCACGTTTTAAGGTGCAGTGCTGGGGCTTTGCCCCATGAGATTTCTTTTATCCAGCAGTTTTGCTCTCTTATTGGGGTGGGGTAGGGTGGGTTTACCCCTGCATTGTTCACAAAAACTAGTTACCGGTAGGTCATTGTGACCCCTGTGTAAAGAGTCCCTTCATTTTCACTTCTCTATTAAGGTACAGGAGTGAAAGAGTGTTAAGGCTGCAATCCTAAAAATATATGGTAAAAGATAAAGGACCCCTGGAGGGTTATGTCCATTCAAAGGCGAATATGGGGTGTGGCGCTCATTTTGCTTTTCAATCCGAGGTAGCAGGCGTTTGTCCACAGACAGCTTTCCGGGTCATGTGGCCAGCATGACTAAACCGCTTCTGGTGCACGGAGGACCGTGACGAATGCCAGAGCGTACAGAAATGCCGTTTACCTTCCTACCACAGTGGTACCTATTCATCTACTTGCACTGGTGTGCTTTCAAACTGCTAGGTTGGCAGAAACTGGGACAGAGCAACGGGAGCACACCCTGTCACGCAGATTCAAACTGCTGACCTTGCGATTTGGCAAGCGCTCCAAGAGGTTTGGACCACAGTGCCACCCGTGTCCCTTAAAAATATATATAAAGTACTTAGTAGGGAGCAAACTCTACTGAACAGAAAGTAACTGTGCATAAGATTGCACTGTGAGAATTGTAGTACTGTAGTTTGTTAAATTGTGAAAAGATGGCTGAAGAGACATCTTTCCCAAATTAGGTCTGCGTTGGGCCAGAATGAGTTTCCTAGCACATGCACAAAGGTGCACACACACATGTACAAAAAAAAAAAAGTTTTAGGAGCCACCTGAGATGTCTGAAAAGTGCAGTGCAATGACAAAGAATATATTTTCCATTGCACAAAATGTGGCTGATCATAAATAGCTCCTGCTTGCAGTCATTTCTCTGTTTGTCTACCATTCATATTGTCATTTGATTAGTTAATCATCCATTTTCTAAAGTGTGAATGTGTTTTTACACTTCAAGCAAGACAGTGTTAACTATGAAACTATAGATAGCAATGGAGATTAATTATCTATTTCAGAAGTCTCCACACCTTTTGCTTCTGAGATAAAGGAGAACTTGTAATCTGTTCAAAGGTTCAGTTATCAAAATAATAATAATAAAATAAATTCAAACCACTCTGGACAGTTTGTTGAACTGTATTTAAGGGTCGTCGTCCCCAGGCTGTTTTTATGAAACACATCCTGCCCTAATGACGTGTGAAGAGACTTTAAATACGCAGCAAAACTGAACTGTTTAATGGCATTAAAAGGCTGAGAGTCTTTGGGGAAGTAATAGCATTTTTCTGATATTTTGATCACCATTTTATCATTATTTTCCCAACCACTCTTTGCTAGCCCCGCTCACCCATGTGGGCTTATGTGGAGGCAACTGGCTTTGACAGCATGCTCTAAGCCAGTGTTTCCCAACCTTGGGCCTCCAGCTGTTTTTGGACTACAACTCCCATCATCCCTAGCTAGCAAGACCAGTGGTCAGGGATGATGGGAATTGTAGTTCAAAAACAGCTGGAGGCCCAAGGTTGGGAAACACTGCTCTAAGCAGTGTGGGAAAACTGGGCCTACTCGCCATGCAAATCCCCCACAATGCCCCTGTGATGGGCTATGAGGGCTCACTGGTTCCTGTGCTGGCACACTTGGCCCCTTGACTCCTGTCTGCATCAACCAGGCAATAACTCCTGAGAAGACCACATGTGGACATTGCCTGGAGACTCCCCCTGTGAGGGAAGAAGTGTTGGGCCTTCTCCACTGGCTTGCCTGGTGGTTGGGAAGGAACCCAGCTGCAATGCCTTAGGCTGAAGGGAAGGGAGACAAAGATGGTATATAAAATGCTGAAAGAAGCTAGTGAAGACACAGTGGAAAGGATGGGTGCCTAAATAAGGAGTCTCTACAGAGATTTGAGAATAGTTCTCCACGTTTCCCTGTGTCTGTGGGGTGTTCTTCAGGCTATTTCACAAGCCCCATTGAATGTGGTTAGAGTGGGGTGTCAACAGACTTTGCTGCTCCCCGTGGTTGTCTAGGAGGAGCCGTGGGTTCAATCCTGCCAGGGACATGGATGGAGTCAGAGGATCTCTTTGAGGGAAAGCCTTCCTTGAGGCAGCTCTGGGAGGAACTGGCTGTTCCCGGTGTTTGGGACTTATTCCTGAGGAGCCTGGACTGAGAAAAAGGAGACTTGGATGCTCTGAAGGACGCACAACACTTTGTAGAAGATGTCTGCTAAAGGGACTTGGGGATGGGAAGAATTCGGGCCAGGGGTGAAAATGGAAAACATGAAGCAACATTTGTGGAAGAAAGCCTGATATGCAGCGGAGCTGAGGTGAGTCTGTGCATGCCCTCTTTGATGTGTCCTTTCCATAGGGGCAATGCTTTTTTCCCAAAAAAAATTAAATGTTTAGGGGTACTCTCATTTTCCTACTCATATTGAAATACAGTGGTACCTTGGGTTAAGTACTTAATTCAGAGCCAGTGTGGTGTAGTGGTTAAGAGCGGTAGTCTCGTAATCTAGGGAACCGGGTTCGCTTCCCCGCTCCTCCACATGCAGCTGCTGGGTGACCTTGGGCTAGTCACACTTCTCTGAAGTCTCTCAGCCCCACTCACCTCACAGAGTGTTTGTTGTGGGGAGGAAGGGAAAGGAGAATGTTAGCCGCTTTGAGACTCCTGAAGGGGAGTGAAAGGCGGGATATCAAATCCAAACTCCTCTTCTTCTTCTTCTAATTCGTTCTGGAGGTCTGTTCTTAACCCTGAAACTGTTCTTAACCTGAAGCACCACTTTAGCTAATGGGGCCTCCCACTGCCGCTGTGCTGCTGGAGCACGATTTCTGTTCTCATCCTGAAGCAGAGTTCTTAACCCGAGATACTATTTCTGGGTTAGCAGAGTCTGTAACCTGAAGCGTATGTAACCTGAGGTACCACTGTACTGCCTCTTAATGAGGCCAAACATAGATTCCCAAAATGTATAGGGGTATGCGTACCCCCAGAAAAAAGCACTGCATAGGGGTGTAGCACAGCCAGAGAGAACGTGCCAAGGGCCTTGTGGGAGATTAAAATGGTGACTAGACCCAACCAGTTGGTTATTTTTGGAGACGTGGGGCAGAAAAATAAGGATGGGGATGCTGAAACAGGCATCAGCAATGGAGAGGGTGCAGTTGCTTAATAATGTGGGACAGGGATGGGGAGCCTGCCTTCAGATGCTGTCAGACCCACAACTCCCAAACAGCCCTGTCAATGCGCAGGGATTATGTAAGTGCTCCAGCCACAGGTTCCCCATCCCCGGTGCTGGGCTTAAGTTGGTTATGGACACCTGAATGAGTGTCTCCATTCCCACCGTTCAGTCCAGACACTGAGGTCCAGCTCTGAGAGCCTTCTAGCAGTTCCTTCATTGCAAGAAGCAAAGTTTCTTTTCTTTTCTTAAGTTTTTATTTATACTTTTCAAGTTTATACATTTCATTAGTTTTACAATCAATTTAACATTTCAAAGTTTGACTTCTTTCCTCCTCTTTCTGTGGCTCCTTAAATTTATTTTTTAATATCTTCTGCATATCCAAATTCATTTAATTTGCTCATTTAATAATCTACTTTAAATATATACTTATGAAACTGCAGGTTATTACAAGAATCCTGCCAATGTTTTTATCTGTTTGCAATTTGTCCGTAAATATTTAATAAACCAATTCCATTCTTTTATAAAAAGTTTGTTATCTTGATTTCTTAAGTTTTTCCATTTCTGCATATTCCATAAGTTTTTGTATCCATTCTTCCTTTGCTGGAACCTCTGCTTCTTTATACTTTTGGGCAAGTAACATTCTTGCTGCTGTAGTAGCATACATAAATTTCTATACAATTTAGGTAGCTCTGTCCCTATAATTCTCAGAAGCAAAGTTTCAAGGAACCAGGCAGAGGGCCTTTTCAGTAGTGGTGTCTGCCCTGTGGAATACCCTCCCATCAGATAGCAAAAGTTAAACAATTATACAACTTTTCATAGACATCTGAAGGCAGCCCTGTTTCAGGAAGTTTTTAATGTTTGATGTTTTGTTTTGTCCCTTTATAATTTATTGGAAGCTGGTCTGAGGGGCTGGGGTAACCCAGTCAGATGGGTGGGATATAAGATATTGTGGTTGTTGTTATTCAGGTTTAGCAAATGCGTCTGTACACATACTATCTGTTTTTAGCATTGTATCATGATAAGTATTTCACGGCAAGGTGGAACCTTTAGCTGAAATTAATTACCAAGAGCCAAGACCAACTTCAATGGTTCAATATGGGACACCATTTACTCAGAATTACAGGGTTTACTGATTAT